CATTTGGTCATGGACTCTCCACCTCCAGATACGACAAGGTACCCTGACGTTCTGAGACATGGTGTCAAGTTCTGCCTGTTATAAATGCAATGCCTTTCTTCAAAATACACTTCTGTTTTCTCTTTCAAAATAAACACACTACGTCGGTACGACACCGGAAATTGACGTCTTTTTTCCTTCAACAATAAACACACGTGGTTACGTTCAGCCAACACAGGCATGCGGTTGGGTTTAGGACAAAAGAACAGGGTTTAGCTTTACAATCTTACGAGAGGTGAACACTGGCCTCCCGGGTGAAGGTCGGTGGCTGTTGGACCCATCCACCACCTGTCCCACCCACCCTGTTAAACAATAAAGGTGACCAGCTGCGTATCATACTGACATGAAAGGACGGCTTGTTTTCACTGCCCAAGCGCAGGACTTTGATGACTTTGGATTGAGACCGAGTTGAGATTCTGGAAATTCTGATAAATATTTTTCAGTTATGTGGATTTTTCTCTTTTATGCCTCAGTGCTGGTGACAGCTATGGTTGGAGGCATTACGTTTTCGGGTTGTCCATATGTCCTTCCATACGTGCATCCATACATCCCTTCATCCCTCTGTCCGTCCGTCTGTCTCAGGAACACCTAGAGGAAATTTCCACAAATTTGGCACAACCGTCCACTTGGAGTCAATAATGAACTGATTACATTTAGGCTGTCAAAGGTCAAAGGTCACTGTGACCTCACAAAACATGTTTTTGGCCATAACTCAATTATTCTTGCTAATTCTGACAAAATGTCACAAATTTCTGATAGAATGAGGTAATGATTTTAGTCCTGATTGAGGTATTCAGTTATAATTGTCCATTTGATGCTTTCTGGAAAATTCTTTAGAAATAAATCACCACTAATAACCTCAACTAGCTAAAATGTAACTAATATAGCTGTCTGTCTCAGTTTTCTGTATTGTAAGTGCCAAATGACATAGTCTTTTTGCCACTTTATTTCCAAACAAAAAGGTCCCAAATCTGTTTAAAAGCTCTGAGCACACTACCAGAAATGAAAATCTGGTGGAGGAATACTGATATAGTTCATTAGCTCAGTCTAAAAATACTGGCATCAGCCTAAAAACTCTGACTTCCCAGACAGACATGACCTCAGTGTCCAACGCTGGCAAGATACCACTAAGGGTGATTTTTTTTTTGTTTGTTTGTTTTTAATGTATTTTTTTTTAACCAACCCTGCGAAAGTACATCAGAAAACTGTAATCCTGAGTAAATCACCCATGACCTAAACGTGTTGAGACTGCAGTAAGAGCCCTCCTGGTGTGTCTCGTGGGTGCCCAGCCACAAGGAGAGCGTCTGAGAGTTTTGGTGGTCAGCAGGTCAGCTGTGAGTGCTCTGCAGCTGTCTGATAACTGCCGCTGTGGGTGGAGTTTGCCCTCACCTATGCACTGTTGCACACACATGCTTTTTTTTATTTTCACCAAAGGGACGAACAGCTCTGTGGAGACCAACATCATGTAGATCAAGAGAGGACTCTGTCAGCTTCTGACAAGAGCACTTCTGCATTAATTTCAGGCCGCTTAAAGCGTGTAGCCCATGCCTAAAGCACCTATTTATATGAGATAGTTTGGCATCGGTAGACTGAGCTTTCATTTATCTCATTTCAACTCATTTAGTCCTCGTCTTCTTTTTGCAGATTAATGAATATACAGTATAATGGTCTGTTAACGTAATATTGATGAGGTGATGCTGATAGTAATGAGATGCCCTACCTAAATCAAAGTGTTTACAAATGGACGAGCACACGCATCCACATGTATTCACCCCACTTCTTCCTCCAGCTGACCATTAATTTAATTGACCCAGCTCATTGTTGTTCATCTGTTACTTATCAACCGTGGAAAATCACATAGTTATCAATTAGTGCTCTGATGGTTTTCCAACCAATAATACGTCACTGAAATGTTATGTTGTCATGTTTTCATAGCCTCAGGCACGTGCTGTAATCAAAGGAGCTCTGCTGCTATACATCACAAAGAGAATGTGTTTTAGCTCAGTCAATTACTTTTTTCATTTTTATGTCTGTTTCTAATCCTCTGAACCATATTTAGCTTTGTTTTCTACATTTTTTTTTACTATTTATTTTCAAATTTTGAAATGTTCTTTCCTTAGCCCTTGTGTTTTTAAGCTTTATTTTGTCATTGTTTTGGATCCCACAGACCCCTTTTTTTTATACTTAATTACAATAATTATTGTAAAATCAGCCATTTTTCCCCCCTTCAGATTTTCTTTTCTTCTGACCTTATTCAACCACAACACAAATAACATATTTAAGTGTTAACCCTTTCTTATGCCACATTTGGTAAATATGACAAAATACAGAATTATTTTTACATCCAATAAGTACATAGCTTAGGTTTTATATTGGCTATTCACAAACAAGTATTCCTTTCAAAAACTCATTCACACACAAAGAAATCTGCAGTATCATGGATAGAGACTTTACTAATGTTTTGGGTCAGTTACTCCCTCTTATGAGCAAACTATTACCAATCATTAAAAAATCTGAGTAACAGAAGTCCAAATTGACTTTTTTGGAATTTGGGAGGTGAACACTGTGTACAAAGTGGACCGATTGGCCACACAATTAAAACCACGACAGATAAAGTGACTGATATTGATCACCTCATGACATGTTATTACTTAGGATGGGACGATTGCCTCTCCATCAGTTCTGCTAAATTTGTGCTAAATTTGGCTCTTATGTCTATGTTGCAAGTGTTTGTGATGCTTTGTGTGGTTGGCTTTCGACGGTGGTGGCGTGTGGCTGCGAGTCACTCATCAGGATGAAGAAATCATCTCACCAGTCTGTAAAATCTCCTCCTGCTGATTCTGCTAGATAGCTGCTAGCTAGCCATATTTAGGTTTTCAAATGTAAACATCAATAAACATGGAGCAGAGGATGGTGAAGACTGGTCACCAGCTGAACTAGCATCTTGCTAGCCATTGTCCAGGTGTTGAAAAATAAACTGGATGACCTCTGTTCCACATTAGTTTCCAGTAGCATATCAGGAAATGTGATATCTTGTGATTCACCAAAACCTGGCTAAATTCTGGACAGTGCCATTCAACCAGGTGACTCTTTCTATATGCTGATCTGACAGAGCAGAGGACTTGGGGAGAGAAGGGGAGAAGGCGTGTGCTTTACAGTGAATAAGGACTGGTGTGACAGTGGGAATGTGAGACACTGTCCTGTTCCTGCTGTGGGTCACTAGTAAACTCCTTTCAGGAGCAACCATACGGCTGTCTTGTTGAGGTCGGGATGTGAGCACAGTTAAATCATTCCACAAGCAGAATCCATGGATTACTAGAATCATCCAGACACACTCACAATTATAAAGCAGCAGCCAACAATGTAAGAAGACATAAAAAAAGAACAAAAATTACAGTGCACAAGTTAAAGGAGATGATGGGATCACATTTCACTGGAGTTGGACCTACATGTAGTATAATTAAGTGTGACAAATAAATGATTGATTGATGGATTAATCATTATTATCCAAAGTTCTGCTGGGAAACCTATGGCATTACCTATGCCAGGTGAAATGCACCACCCACCCAAACACTGTGTCGACCTGGCCTCCAAATTCCCCAGATCCCAATCTCATTGAGCATTTGTATGACGTGCTGATACCCCACCCTCACAACCCACAGAAATCATAGGATCCATTGCTAATTCTGCCAACACCCTGATGCCAGACACCGCAGGACAACCAAAAGGTCCTGTGCCCATGCCACTGCCATTGGGGAATGCCATTGCCATGAGGGGGTGTACTCAATCTGCAGTGTTTTTTTTGGGTGAGTGGTGCACCCCAGGTAGCATCCGTGTGAATGCCAGGACCAGCCCACACTGATGTGCAACAAGATGATCAATGTTATTCACTTCAGCTGTCCGTGGTTTTATGTTGTAGCTGATCAGTGTACAGACAACACTAATCACAGGTGTAGATACTATAATTACATTTAACAAGGTTTTACAGCCGAGAGCTCTGTGAGTCCAAACAGAAGCAGTGTGTTTCTGTTGAGACTGAAACATGTCTTCAGTTCAAAATCATATTATCTGGTGATTTTTGTAAAAAAAAAAAAAACAGAGGAAAAAAAATCATCAAGTATCAAGATCTAGACTTTATATTTGCTTTTATATATTCTCTCACCCACGCATCTACTGCTTATCCTTCTCATTCATCCATTGTATCCACATTCTTGAGTCCAGCAGTAATTTACTGCAGTGTCACGCTGCATGAGTCCTCTGTTATTTATGTGTTGTTGTCTTTGATTCATTTTATTACTGTGGCAGGTGTCAGCCGTTACTATGAGGACTGCTACAGTTGGACGCATACAGACAAAGCGCACGCACGCACGCGCACACACACAGACACTCACATATGCCTGCCTGGCTGATATTGGCCATAGTCATAGCCAACACAAAGTTATCTGGCAGTGTATTTTGTTCAGCTCAGTCAACATGCTGAATTTAATTTCCTCTCTCTGTCCTTCAGCTGGTGGATTTTTTTTTTTATTTCATCCCAGGGCAATGTTTCCTTTTGTGTGCGTTCAGTGTTTTCACACCCCTCCTCTTCTCCATCTACAATATGTATACGTATTTATATGCCTCTTTGTGTTTGTTTTTGCTGGTGCTCCTGTGTGTTTGTCTGTGTGTCTGAATGATGTCAGTTTGTCTCCTCATCTGTCTCTCTGTCTTGCTCTGCTTGTCTGTCTTTCACTTTCTCTCTCTTTGCAGTCCCTCCTCTCATACAGTACATCATCAACACGCACACACATGCACACTTGTGCATCTTTTTCCGGGTTTCCTTAAATCTCCCCACTGCTGAGAAAGTGAGTGACAGCACTATATGCACAGTCTGCAAAGGACTGACGGGGTTTTTAACCAGATACGTCACAACTCCAGGGGATAGGGAAGAGGGAGGGACGGAGGAGAGGAGAGGAGGAGAGCAAACGAACAGAGACAGGGAGAGAATGAGAGAGAGAGAGTACAGAGGGATATATTGACTCAAAGCTGGTCTGCATGCTCCTCAGTATGTGAGAGACAGAGGACGTGAGAGCAGGCAAGATGGAGTGCTGGCACAGATGAAGACTGTCCCTGGGTACGTATTTGTGGATTGCTATATTTATGTTTGAGTGCGTGTGTGTGTGAAGATGTGCTTGCATGTGCATGTATCTGTATGTAAGGAGGTTGAGAGTGATTGAGTTTGTAATCAGCATGCTGCAAGTGATCATTTAAACGTGGGTACCCAAGGAGTGAATATGGGTATTGTTACATAAGGAGCAGCCTGAGTGACTGAATGAGTGTAGGTATTGAAGATGGGAAGAGGCAGTTTGGGGTCTTTATATGTGTGTGTGCATGTGTGGTTTTACATGTGTGTGTCAGAGAGAGTCTGCCTGGTGCTGTAACTTAGTAAAGTGAGGAAGAAGCAATGTGCTCGAGGAAATGCAAGTTTACAACTGAGTTAAGTCTTGTTCTGTGTGGATACGAAGGCTACATTGGCTGATTAACAAGAGCTTCAGTGTGTTCAGTGTATCGACACATATGTCAGTGTGTCAGAAGGAGAGACTCTGTGTGTTTTATGATACACTAGAGGTGCGTTATAGTGATACCAATGTAAACAAAAATCTCAGTATCTTCACCCACACTGAGGAAGAATCACCTCTTGCTGTTTTTTTCTGGCTTCTACATTCAGCTAAGGCATTTTCACTTTAAAGGCAGATTCTAATCTTTCGGCTAAATGCATAATGTATATGTCAAGGGGGACATTCAAGATAATTTAAACACACAATGAAAAATCCTGCTGATCTAAAAGCATTTATCAAAGTACAACAGAGGGGTGTCATTTTGTTAGTGTCATTGTGGGAATTTAAAAGGGTTCATTCGAATTCCCAAAAGTCACATTATAATACTAACTAATTGATCGAGGCAGTGGTAGACCAACAGCTCCTGTGTTTAGTGAGCTAAAATCATTGTTTTTGTCAATGGAATCTGGTGGCTTTGACGAGAGCATAGATAGGGAACTAAAGCCGTAAACGGCTTCCCTATCGAAACGGGCTGTCTGATGGAAAGATAAAGCAGTAAAAATACTACTATAATATGCTATTTATTTAGGTGGTTAAAATCTAATTTGCTGTGGCCCCATCCACAGCAGTACATTGCTTAGCTTTCATGTTAGACTCCAGTCTGCTTCTTCAAACTGGGAGTGTGCCTGCTGACATCTTCTGTACTTAATACATTGACTTTGGGTTATGACCCTATACAACCCCACTTCAAAAAAGCCAAACTATCCCTTTAACTAGAGCTGAAACAGTGAATTAATTTAAGTTGATTGACAGAAAATTCATCTTAATTTTTGATGAGATATTGATATTTCAAGTCGATTTCCAAGCAAAATGCCAATCACTCTCTGTTTGTAGCTTCTCAAGCTAAATTGAATCTCTTTTGTTTTTTTGGACAGTCAGTGAGACATAACAAGCATTTGGGAAACTTGTGCCGGGCATTTTTTTAAAACTTTTTTCTGACATTTTATAAACGTAAGGATAGATTCATTACTTGGGAAGAAAGAGATGAACTGATAATGAAAACAGCAATCAGTAGTTGTAGCCCACGAGTCAACACTTTGATGTGAGAGCTTTCAAAGCAACACTAGACAAACAACAGTCAGCCAAACAGGCTGGTCATGTGCGTTCACACAACAGATGCATCAGTCAGAAACTAAAAGAGCAACGCTGCTGGAAGAATAGACTTGAAAATCATGACAACACAAGCAAACTGCACAGACATAAAGGGACAGAGGTCACAAGTAGACAGTAAACAGCAACATGATGGACATATGCACCCTCAAAGGACCTGATTCATGTGTGCGTGTTTAAGGTGAACACCACTGCGTTTTTGTTATCTAGTTCGTGTTGTCCTCACTAGTCTAATCTGGGACAGCACCAGTAAACAAAGGAAACAGTTTTAGGTCTGTCTCTGTGATCACTGAAATTAAACCTGCTCTTGAAATAATAAAAGACACATTGGCACTGTGGGAAGACAAAACATGTCTTCTGTCTTTCTTAATCACTGTGAGGAAAATAGGAAATGATAGCGTTTGGCTTAACAAGGTCGGAGTTTTGGCAACAGTTATTACGCTTCCTTTGGTGACAAATAAGTTAAGGACTGAGAACGGCTTCAAATGGTATTATGTAAATATTGCTCAGGGGACTCGCAGATGAGAGAGAGAGAGAGAGAGAGGAGTGAAAGAGCGAGATAAGGGAAGGATTAGAGTGAAGTGCAGATACACAAGTGACATCACTTGTTCATACTTTACAGCACTACATTTGAATATTAATTCAGAGCACAGACTCGGTGTGCTGACACAATGTGTGAGTCACACTTGAAGTGCCAAAGGTTCTGGCAGATTCTATTTTGGCTGTTGAGAAGTCAGGTTTGCATCAATGGATGGAAATAGACAGATGCTTCAGTTTTCCTCAGGATGTTTTAAATGTGCTGTGATTTTAACATATTGACAAAGTTGCCTTGAATAGATTAGGACACTTAGAGGAGGCAGAGGATGCAACTTACATGTCTCTTCCTCCCCTCTGATCCCAGCTCTCTTTCTCACCTCATCTTATTTCTTTTTCTGTTCATTTTCAGTCCCGTTCGACAGTCGACATGAGCGTCTCCAAACCCCCGCCGCCCCCTTCCACCTCCCACCTGGCCATCCCCCCTTCCTCCTCCACCTCCACCCCTTCCTCATCCGCCTCCTCCCCCATGGCGACGCCCCACTCTGCTGGCCCGCCCCCGCCCTCGCCAGTCAAGATCTCTATGCAGGAGCACTTTGCCATCAACGTGTGCCCAGGCCCCATCCTCCCCATCCCACAGATCTCAGACTTCTTCCCACGTTTCCACGACTACCCCTGCACGCCACCACCCCCAAGGGAGAAGAAGATCCTGAAAGAGGAGACTTTTAATGGGGAGACGGGCGGAGGATACAAGGATGGGGAGAGGAGGGGGGACAACGACGGAGACAGGGAGGAGGCGGTCGACTCTGATGATGATGACAGTGAGTTCTGAGGAGGGCCTTCAAAGTTTAGTGGTGAAGTTGTGTTGAATATTGAGTGCATGTGTTTATTCATGTGAAATTTACAAGGCAAAACAAACACTTCCAAAACTCTGGAGAGGAGACATCTTTTTTTCCCCCTGCATTTTCCCCAGAAGCACAACATATGCTTGAAGAGTAATTGTGGAGTCAAGCATTTCTCCAAGAGTGTTTGTCACTCCCACTTTATTTGACACAGCAGCACCGATGATTTATTAGACAATGTAGCGATAGTGGGGCTCAGCCTGCAAAGTTTCTGCTCATTCCCAAACAGTAATCAAACAAGACAGATCAATTCATATTAGGCAGCATCATGTTTTTAAGAGGCCATCTGCTACAGATATGACTCAGAGCTTTTCAGTGTGTGTATGACTGAGTGTGTTTGTCCCTTTACTGGCAGTAATTGCCACGGTTTGTGTTGTTTTCAGCCTACCTGGGAACGTTGGAGTTCACCCTGCTCTTTGATCAGGAGAACAACTGTCTTCATTGTACTATTCACAAAGCAAAGGTACACACAATTTCAATTTCTTCTTCATATAAACAGACTTCTGTCTGTCTGTGTCTGTGTAGTTGTGTAATTCCCCTTGAAGTCCAAATGAAAACGTTCTCCTGTAATGTTTTTATGTTTGCACAAGACGTCAGGCTGCTCTCTCTCTCTTTCTCAAGCTTTTTAAAGTAACATGTTCGCCACACACCCTCAGCAGCTTGTCAATTCCAGACTAAATCATCTCATGGCGCTGTGAAATGTTGGATAATGTCACTCTGTCGCTGTAGCAGACACATTTAGTTTGGCCATCGCACGAGGACACGCGCCTTTTATTACATATTGTGTACTGTCACATGATGTTAATTATGTAAATCTCGCTGAACGGTTCCCTTGAGGACAACACAAAGGAGTCAAGGATGGTAGAAAACAGTGGCATGGAAAGAAACACCCAGAAGCGCCATTGAGATGTAACTACAGTAGAAGAGGTCTGTCATATCCGCTGTCTTTTTCTGACCCTGTCAGTTGTGTGAAGTGTTTGAGGGCATGATGATGTCACCTTTGACACTACAGCATGCGTGTGTGTGTGTCTGTGTGTGTCTGCTTGTGTCCACAGGGACTGAAAGCCATGGACTCCAATGGACTGGCTGATCCATACGTCAAGCTTCATCTTCTCCCCGGGGCTAGCAAGGTCACTGCTCCAACCTTACCTCAATGGCAATTAACGTAACATGCTACCAGACACTGACACTCCCTAATCACACACAATCTGCTGCTAGAAGACAATCTACAATCAACTTGCTGAAAAGACTGAAAATAGGAAACATTTCACGTCATTCAACTAGAAAACAAAACTGTTATTTACTTTTTGCACATAATAGTCTCCCTTGTTGATTCAGACAAAGGTCAAAAAAATCTTGCCAGAAAAAAAACAACAACATCTTGGCAGTGGGCTAAATTAATGTGTCATCGCAAGCCGTTGAGCGGGGAGCATTTCGGTTGGTTACCGCTTAATGTGGCTCGTCCAATGCTCCGCTTTATCGAGCACAAACACGTTCAGGTCTGCTGCACCTCTCTTGTCTTGTTTTCGGCTCAAGCAGCAGGGAAGATAAGGCTCACCGCAACAGCAACCCCACAGCTATGGCAGAGTGCAACCTGTTGTCAGCCATTTTGGCTCAAGGTTGACACAAAACGAGGTTATGATAAGTGCAGGGAGGACGGCGAGCCAAGCTAGGTTGAATAAGGCGACCGTCTGAGGTCTAAGGTGCTAACAATAACAACGTCTGGGGGATTTTTTTGTCCTCCAGCCTCCCTCTGTGTCTTCTCTCGCATTGTTATCGCTCTCCTTTCCCCACTTTCCACCCCTATCTCTGTCTCTATCTCACTATCTGGCTGTGACCCTCTTTGACCTTGAAATACCAACAGTGTGCGGAGAGAAGGGAGACAACTGAGAGGGGGAAAAGGGGGAGAGAGAGAGAGAGAGAGAGAGAGAGAGAGAGAGAGGGAATGGAGAAAGGGAGGGAGGGAGAGACAGATGAGGGGAGGACAGCAGCAGGTGGTTGTCATGGAAACAGGGAGGATTGTTACACGGCTCACGTCAACAGCCGAGTGTTGATGGGGGGGGTGGAGGTGGTGGTGGGGGGGTTGCAGAGAAAGCGTCAATGAGTAGGTAAGTACCCATGAACAGCCGTTTGTTAAATACCCACCAGACGGGAGACACGTCACTTGAAAAGTGGGAGCATGCACGTGCAGAAGTGAGCATGACGGACACACACTCACACACCCACCCACTCCTCGTCCAGACTCAGCATGCAAATGTTGCAATGAGTAATCCAGAACACAAAAAGGTTTCAGTTTCTGTGAAAGAACTGAGTTGTCAAAACACAGAGAGCAGAGACACACGTCTTCACCGGCCCCGCTCCTTTTCACATCCTCCAGCACGCGCTCTCTAACCAGTGTACAGTTCAGCATGCTGGAAACACACACTGCAACACATGCGGCGCATGACCTTGCGTCTTTGCAGACACATGCTAAGGCTTTAGTCACAGTCACACAGAGACGCTGCCTTCATCTGTTCCTCCTCCTCGATCACTCCCTCCCTCAGTCCCACACACAAACATGTATACAGACACAGTAGTAGCCTGGAGTCTCTGTTGGTCATTGGTGTTTTCATCTTCCCATTCCTAGTCGATGTGCATGGAAAATTCACTCACAGCCAGACTCTTCATCCACAGCTCTGGGAAGTAGGGATTGAGAGAGAGAGAGTGCGGAACAAGCAAAAAAGATCCACGCAGGCAGATGGAGAGAAAGACAGGAGGGTGTGATGGACAGATGGAGGGCTAGAGATAAAACATTTAGAAACAGATGCAACAGCATCAGTGTAGAGGGAAAATGCAGGCATGGAGTGACAGAGGGCAGGTAGAAGGAACTGGTGTTTAAGTGTTTGTAGATGTAGCATGTGCTTGGATGTGTGCTCAGAAAACCAACCCAATTCAGTCAATCAGGGACAACGATTATTTTGCGAAATAGTTGTTTTGTAGAGTTGTGCTGGCACACATACAGCTGTGCAGGTCAAGTCGTGACTCTGCTAGTGAACGTCTCCTCCTGCACATTAATGAATCAAACAAATGACACGAATCGAAAACACTTGTTCCCTTCATAGAGCGAGCTCTTGGGGGCTGACTCTTGTAGATAAGCCAAAACTTTCCAGCAGAAAATGGAGAATGAAAAAAGGACAGTGACGGGAGGGAAGGGAGTGAGAGGGGAAGGCAGCACAGGCAGAACAATGGGATGTGGGGACAAAAACAGAGCAAGGGAGAGAGAAGATGGAAAAGAAGGGCTCAGCATCTGGCCCTGAGGCGTTAGCAAGAGGCTGACTGTGGCAGAAAGGAAAAGAGAGAGAGGGCGAAAGATGAGGTGTTTATCTGCGAAGCTTCAGACACGAGCAAGAGTATTTGGAGAGAACAGTCTACACACTTTCTTTACCAGCTGAGTGTATGTGTAGACACATAGTTATGCATAAACACCAGTGGTGGCAGAGCCTTCACTTGAATAAAAATAGCCATACCGTAATCTAAAGTAAAAATACTCTCTTACAAAAAAAAGGTCCTGCCTTCGAAATTTTACTTTAGGAAAAGAATTAATAATAGAGAATCACATGATGCAATATGGCTCAGTCCCAGTGTTACTAATGTATTACAATGGCAGCATCTTAGTGTGACTGGTAGAGGTGGAGATATTTCTGACCATTTTGAAGGCAGTCGATGCTCTATATTTTTTGTTTATGTCAACAAATCCCAAGACCAAGATCAACAATTTGTTCGTCCTTCTCTCAATACTTTCATACTTCTCTGTGCAGAGCTGTGGCACTCAGCCCCGAGCAAAGTGTTCCTACTGAAGATGCAAATCTTTAAAAATGGGTCACAAATACATAATTTCAAATAAACAACTCCCTAAAAGCTGGGCACTGTCGTTCTGATCAAGCATTCTCATGCAGGAGTTAGGCTGCATACACACCAAATCCGCCGCAAAAACATCACTCCTCCAACTCATTTGACTGTTGGAAAGATGGGCTTTTATAAAACTAGTCTATCTATGCAGTAAAAAGATACAAATATTTTTGAAAGTGGTGCTACATGACCAGAGAAAACAAATCCTACAACTACCAGAATGCTCTGTGCCACACCAGACCATTAAATGTTCCGGTCGGTGCGTGGCGTGATGCAAACTCATCTGTTTGACACAGTGGTGGCCAGCTGGTAACAAATGATCTGTATTACAGCTCAACAGTCAGCTGAAACACGTTTCTGAAAACATTTGAGACGAGAAAAATGCAACTCTGTAACAGAATCTTTTATTTGATCAGTACTGCTTCGTTTTACCTATTTTTACAGTACAGGAAACATTATGGCGCCCACTTCCTGTCAACAAACTCTCACTATTAGAGCTAAGTAGGGCACTAAAATATGATTATGAAAACATTTTAGTCAAGAAATAGGCAGTGCAGTACTATAATCTTGATTAATATTAGATTAGCACTACCGAGTTTTACTGTTTGATTGAATTTCAGTCCGAGTTTGTGTCCGTGGTGGCAGCATTGGTGCCAACAAAACTCCACCAGATAACACATTTACCAAGTTTACCATAATTAATTTACACAAACTACCCACATTGATGTGATACAAAGCATGTTGGCGAATTATTCCTCTAATGCTTGTGGCTGTGGTGGTGCGCCAAAAAAATAAATAAAATATTGCAGCGATCTGCGGTAAAAAGTTGAAACAGATTCAACTTTTGGTGAAGTGCAACCTGATGTCATGCTGCAGTGGCCAATGTTGCAATCTGCGCTCAGACCAGAAAGACTCCTGCAGTCCACTAATAAAGTAGTAATAAAGTAGTGGTAATACAGTCTCTTTCTATTTTTAAATATAAAGATATTGTTATAGTGGGTAAAAAAATAATGTGTTTATTAACAGCTTGTGCACTATGCTACAAAGAAGAGCACTGGCTCTAAATGTATGTTTACATGTGTGTCTATTGCAGCAATACTCAAGTAATGATAATCAAAAGGAATCCTACAGACCTTTTAAAGGTCCAGTGTGAAGGATTCAGCAGGATACGTTGACAGAAATGGAAAATAAGATAAGTATATTTTCTTTAGTGTATAATCACCTGAAACTAAGAATCAATTTGTTTTCATTACCTTAGAGTTACCTGTTTATATCTACATAGGTAGCAGGTCCTCTTCCACGAAGTCCACCATGTTGTTCTATAGTAGCCCAGAATGGACAAATCAAACACGGGCTCTAGATAGGGCCATTGGTTTTGTTATACTTTCACATTTTTGTGTTGGCTGCTGTAGTTCTCCTACATGCTTGGCACACTGTAGAAGTTTCACTTGGTTGCAAGCAGAGTTGGGTATAACGCGTTACAAAGTAACACTTTAGAGTACTTTGATTAGTTTTTGCAGTAACAAGTAACCTAACGCGTTAGTTTGCTGTTTGAGTAATCAAATACATGAGTACATTTTCTACAAGCCATCAGTTATTTCCATTAATTTTAAAACACTGGTCCTTCAGCTCCGAAACAGCAACGACTGTCTTTTGGTTCTAATAACGGAGATAACGTTAAACCTATCAGTCTGAAAGAAGCCATGAAGCTTGTGGCTCGCTACGTGGTAGAAGAAATGCTACCATTGTCTACGGTGGAGTCTAAATAGGCGGAGGACTCACTGACAGACAGGTCAGACTCAGGACTTTCATTATGCCTGGTACACACTACACGACTTTTCTGCCCATTCTGAAAGTCACATTACACAGCTGTGGAGTCATAAAATCGTGCCGTGACTTGGCCGACAGACATGACACACTACACGATGGTACTCACCGATTATCCCCGGTCATTATACATGACGTGTGTGATGTCATCGGGTTATTCTTGTCCTATTTTTATTACTTTTACTATTATTTGAGTCACTGTGTATGTTCATGTGCCAGCCGACATGTTGTTGTAGTCACCTAAAAGCATCAGCAGATGGCAGGAGCTACATTTGAAGTAGCTACCGTACGTAAACATTCAAGCTACTGTATCTTCCACAGGAAGTTCTGACAAATGTTTCAGAAAAAAAGCCTATTTAGAAAATTGAGGGATTCTCTCAGCCGCAGCTATAAGGGGCTTTTAATTTGAAGGAAAATCAGGAAGTGTTGAGTTTGAAATGACGGCACAATGTGTTAACTTTACGAAGACAACGGGAGCGGATAAAAAGTAAATATATAAACACACAGAGGGATTAATAAATAACGGACCGTTTATAATGTAGTTTGTTTCAAATGAAGCTTGATGCTAATGACAGTAACGTTAACTCAGCGGGTTGACAAAGTGCCTCTGCTGTTTCACACCATCATTTGCCCCTTTTACTCTGTGTGGTAACATCCCTAGAGGAAATATTAAACATGCTGGGGTGTTGTTGTCATACAGTTGTCTACGGCAGCAGATCGTTCTGTGTTTCTACTGGTCAAAGTGACGGCTGTGATGGGAGAACTGGATCTCAGTGAAGGGCAAGTGGTCCATAACTTTAATTGTGGAGACAAAAAAATGTAGGCTGAGCGCCCTGTGGTCCATTGCCCAATAGGAAATGTAGAATACTCAAAAGTACTTTAAAAGTGCTTGAGTTACTTTTCTCAGGGAGTAACGTTGGAAGTACTTTAAATGTACTTGAGTTACTTTATTCAGGGAGTAACGCAGTAAAGTAACTGGTTACTTTTTTAAAAAGTAATGCAGTAAAGTACTTTAATTACTTTTAAAGTAACCCTTACCCAACCCTGGTTGCTGGTCTACAACCTCACCACTAGGTGCCATTAAGTCCTACACGCTAGATCTTTAAGCAGACAAAAATAAATGTACCAAAGACAAATACTCAAAAAAAAAAACAACTATTGTGTGAGATACTATCTCGTGCGCACAAGATAGTATCTCGCACAATAGTTTTTTTCTTTTTTGGGGACTTCAGGGGCTCCGTAGTACAGTTGCTTAGCTGGGGAGATTGACTTTTAACCTCCAGTCCCCCACAAATGGGCCATTTACTGTAAGTGACACACTCCTGTAATACCAGATTTGGTGTAATTGCATCCTAAATATTGCAATTTTGGGGACTATTTTCAGTGTTGGAATAATACACTCTAGTGAGTATTTATGGCATCAGGACAGTCTCTGTGAGATGGACTCAAAATAAAGCAGTGTCTGTGGCTTGTTGATGTGTTTTTAAAGGGGCACTCCACAGATTTTACACATGAAGGTCAGGTTAGTTGTCATGAGCCTGTGAAAACAGTTGTATAATGTCTTCTGTGGCTCTGAAAGGAGCTCTATAAAATCTCCAGAATACTGTAACCCTAATGATGACCCTGTTGGTGTGTCTTTAACACACCAGGCGGCCACTTTGAATGGTGATGCCTTTGGGCCTGACCAATGCTCCAACAGTTCTTCAAGCTGTTGTGAAAGACGTGCTATGGGACATGCTGGACAAGTTAGTTTTGGTATATTTGGATGACATTCTGATCTTTTCCAGGAGTAGTGACTGCTGGAAAAGCAGCTGTTCATTCAGGCAGAGAAGTGTGAGATTTATGTCTCTGAGGTGTCATTCCTGGGGCTCATTGTCGCTGCAGGTAGCATCCAGATGGACCCCATCAAGGTCAATGCAGTCATGAACTTATTCATTATTAGTTTAGCCAGAGTTGGCTATACAACTTAATTACATCTGGCCTGTCCCTCCCGCTTGCAAATAGTCGTCCTGGAGTTCGGTGATTTCTACCGATACTTCATTTGTAATTACAGAGATACAGCATCATCTCAAAACAGCTCCCATCCTCAACCTTCCTGATCCCTCATGCCAGTTTGTGGTGGAGGTTGACGCCTTTGAGGCAGGAGTAGGTGCTGTTTTTTCCCAGCAATCCGTTAAGGATCAGAGGTTTCAGAGTGCTTGAACCAGAACACGGAGATGGCTCTGCTGTGCATCTCCTCTCACAATCCTGTCTCGTGGTTCAAACAACTGCTGTGAATAGGGTGCACACACAACACAATTTCCAGCTCTGCCACTACCCTTCCCTAAACAGGAAAAGGAGGCCAGTGTCCCTACAGTTCAGTTTTGTTTGCAATTGTCACCATACCTTGATGAAGGCCCACATCTCACTCATCTGCACCTCTGAATGTTGTCAGAAGAGCTCCAACTGGTGCCGCACTCCAGCCCCGTGCTACTTCTTGAGACATAGGGTCTGGCTGGCTATGTGGGACCTAACTCTGAGAGTGGAGTCTAGGAAAGTGGCTCCTTGCTTTGTGGGCCCCTTCTTCATCCCCACAGTTATCAACCCAGCTGCAGTCATTCTTTATTAGCCCCAGTTCATGTGGATCAACCCCACTTTCTATGTCTTCCGGATCAGCCCTTCCCAAGGCCCCCACCATCCTCCCATCAATGGCCAACCTGCCTTCAGCATTAGGCACCAACTTAAGTCCTGCCAGCAGGCTGAGAGGTCTTCACTTAGTGGTCCATTTGGAGGGGTATGATCCTGAGTAGCACTCCTGGGTTTTGGCATTTTGGGACCCTGATTGGAGACTTTCACCTGAGCTCCCCCACCCACATCCTGATCAGCCCGCAAGCATATACCAGCCCATGGGTTCCTGCCATTTTTCTCTGCCTGCCTAAGTTTTGCCTGTTTAACCCCCTGCCTTCATTTTGGACATCTGCTCACTGGCCTGATTCCCGATTGGATAAGTTTGGCTCATCTCCGTCTGCCTGTTTCTGACTTTTGCCTGATTTCAACCTTAAGTGAACTTGAACTTTTCATTTTACAGTCCTGATCTTAGAGTCATGCTTTTGGTTTAAATCTGTTTTACTAAGCCTTTAGAGGATGTGCTAAATCACTGGGGGGAATTTTGATAGTTTCATGCACGCTAATAGAGCCCTGTGGCACAGAGGAATAAGCTACTCTTTATCTAGCTTTGGCTGCGAAGATTATACTTGTTAGTATGATCAGTTTGTTGTTGGTTTTGGTCTTTTAATGCTTTTTTTTTCACAATGATAAAAAAATTAATTACTAGACTTATCCTTTAGCATATTCTATATCCTCATGATAGGCATTTTAAATCTAAATCTGCAACGTCATAGCAGCTATAGCTGTGGGAAAAAGTAGTGGAGCAGAAGTAAAGTAAAAAAAAAATGAAACACGAAAGTGAAGCAGAAGCACCTCAGTTGTACTTATAGTACTTAAGTAAATACTCTCCACTACTGTTAGCCACTCCTGCAGCTCTAAACAGCCAATTAGTTCTGCCCTTGGCTCTATAAGTTCTTATTAACCCACATTTTATAATAAAAATGTCTCTAGAAATTTGTAATTTCGGCCAGAGGTTTGGCTTGTGTGGAATTATGTATCTAGGGAGTCAGCAAAAATACATTTTATTGGATTGCACAACCAATTGCCTGAAGGGTTTATAAACATTAAAATACATATAAAAGAAAATCCCAAATAAAAACTTAAACAAAATGAAGACATCCTGAAGGCAACGGTGGGGAATGAAGCAGCAAGTGGCTGCAAACTTTATTTATGGATGGTGAAGCTATTAAGGGCTCGTGGGCATTTCCTGTCTTGGAAAGCTTTAATTTTTCATGCTGAATGTGTTGTGCAACTTAATTGGCTGCTGTGTTGTGTTGTGTTTGGGACACAGTGCTTGTTTTGGAAGTCTGGCTGGTGCTAATGCACTGTCTTATCATGTTGGGGAGGAGACAGACGGACAGGTGAGGCAAGGGAAGCCTCCCGTCCTCTCACTCTCCTCTACAAAGTAGGCAGCAGATGTCTGCCATTTCCTGAGGGACAGAGATAAATGATGTTTCCCCGCTCTCTTTCTCTCTCTCTCTGTCTTTCCTTCTTGATCTTTCAGTGTTACTCGTTTTGCTTCCTTTTCATGATCTTTTATTCTCTTTCTCTCACTCTCTTTCTCTGATTCTGATGAGTTCCCTCCTTCACCCTTAAAACATTCCTCTTTTGATCCTTCCCTTGCCATGAGTTTCTTTTTTAATATTTCTTCTTTGTCTCCTCAGGCAAACAAGCTACGCACAAAAACCCTGAAGAATACGCTGAACCCAGTGTGGAACGAAACGCTGGTGTATCATGGCATCACAGCAGCCGACATGACCACCAAAACGCTCAGGTAGGTGCTCCACTCTGAATCTCACTCTGCCCGACAATTAGCACTCCCCAGACAGCCAAATGACCAGTTTATTACGCAGAGAATGAAGATCCATGCTTCCAAACCTCCAGTGAACTGCCAGCAGCCGTCTATGCTTCCCAGTGGGCTTTTCCAGGTAATTCATTATTTCAGCCAGGCGACGCCAGCCAACTGTTCCACTTGCTGTTGCTGCGGTAACCGCTCAGGTGTTGGCTGTGCGGCGAGTCTCCGCCCTCCTCCTTCCCACTGTGCTCTCCATATGGAGTGATTGAGGTCAAGTGTAGCCATCTTGGCCCAAAAAGTCTGACGCACTCGTGTCATCCTGCATGTGTAAGTTGAATCAGAGACGGAGTTTCGTGTTTTGTTTGTGAACATGGGCGCTGTGTACAATCAGTGTCAGTTTGCTCAGCAGCTTCATAATAGGGTTGGATGGTATTGTTTATCCTGAGGAAACACGAGCATGGACGCACACATGAATACGCCGCACACACAAATCTAGGCAGTCAGGTGTGTGCTCATCCTCTTGTGTGTATGTCAAGGGCAATCACTGGCAGGAAAGAACATGCATAGCCCCTCCCCTGTATGTAGAGAAAACACACACATACGCAAACAACACACGTCCTTGAGCTTTTACAAACACACACGCTCAGAAATAACATTTACTCTCCCTCCCCAAACACACAGACACACTCGTACGCACACAAACAGGAGCATGAGGAGTCACCCCTCAAACCAGAGGAAACCCACCTGACCTCTGTTCAAGGACGTAGCCCACAGACACAAACCAGCATGGGGGCTCTGGGAAGCCAAAACGAGGAAGAGGAGGCGGAGTGTGGCCGGAAAGCAAGAAATGAATAGAGAGAGAGACAGGTGACTGCTAAGATCAACAAAAAGAGCAGAAGGAAAAGCATGAATGATGTCAAGTGACAGAGAAGGCAGTGTGGAAGAGGAAACTAGGGAGGCCAAGATTGAGAATGGAGATGACAGAATGGAGGGATGGAGAGAATCCATGGGTCAGCCGGAAAGGAGACAGAGAGACTGGCTCTCGGAGAATGTAGTGTGATGGATAAAGTGATGAATGAGAAAATTCACTTAGCCGAGAAAAGAGGGCGAGTGATGGGGAGGAGTTTACTCAAAGGGGAGCCCAAAAACCGAAAGAATGAGGACAGTGAAAAATCTGTGAGACGGCAAACGAGCAGGAGTGAATGAAACGCTGTCTGACAGCGAGGAACGGGGGGACAGCACGCGACAGACAGAGAGAGATAGAGAGAGGAAGAAAATCTGCTCAGATTCTCTGTGGATGTGTTCAGGCGCCAGCACGATACCTCAGCCAATAGACAGACTTTGTTCTCATTACTCCACAGAAAGCAGCGAACAGTCAGAGACAGGACAAGCAGAGAGGGATCCCCAGAGAGATGTTTACTCACTGGGTTGCGCCCGCTCTGTCGATCTCAGCAGGGTGCGGAGGAGGGGATGCTGTACTCTTTGATCCTTGTGCTCTGTACACTGCTGAGCGGGAGGACTCTGTCCAGACTCAGCCTCTCTGTAGACCTGTCTGAAGACTGGACAGTGCAAAGTTTACAGTTAAACTGGGCCATACTGCAGTCAGAGCAAAACCATTCAGTTTTAGAAGAATGTGTTTCCAAGTAAGACAAAAGATCATTTCTATGCAGTGTTTTTATTCAGGTATTGTCAGTTATAGTCCTTTCCCTAACTCCTGGCTGACACTTAGCGCCAAGTGCTTTTCAATAACACAACAAACAGCTGCTGTCAAAAGTACAACAGAAGAGCAACTGGTGTATCTGATTCCAGTGCAGCCAAACAAACTCGTTTTAATAATGATGTCAGTCAAAAATAATTTCAACTGTTAGCTGATTTAATGCTTCAGACAGTACAAATAGTTTCCCACAAGATGGCAGGACACAGTAAAGTTGGTTACGATCAGTGCGAGCATCACCTTTCAGCAACTGAACGCCTTTAACGTGTTTACATGCACAGAGTCTTCCATTTTTTGCCCTTATTCTAAAAAAAAACACAGGCTAACCCATCAAGCTGCTTACATGGCTAATGAAAATTAATATTCCACTAATATTCCTATTAAAATGCAATAATGTGTACTCCAACTCATACATCACAATATAGAAAATTGAGACAGCTGAGGCTGCTTGTGCATCTCTGCATCTGCAAGTTTCCACCAGTGGCGTACTTGTTGGATGGTGCGAAAACAGCCTCCCTGTTTTATTCCTTCAACCACCTTCTTAAAAGTGTCCACACTGTAATATTTGCATATATCCAAAAACCAGCTTCAGAATGTTTAAAAGTAGGTTTTTTTTCTTCTGGTGTCCAGAAATGTCGTCTTTTATGCATGCATCTCTACTCGCTCTTACAAACTGTGTGGACAACACCTAGTTGGTCTGTGTACAGCACATTCATGACTTCGCCCAGAGCTAACTAAGCAGGCAAGAGGCTGTGTGTCACAAGCTGTGGTAAAAGCCCAATCTGACCCTTTGGCAAGCCCCGCCCCCTTGTGATGTTGTCTATCAAGCTGTCAGAGCTAGCAGGGAGGCCACAGTGTAACCAACTGCACTCCCTGAAGAAATATCATAACATTTTTTGAAAAACGAAGAACTGGTTCCAGAGAGAAGCAGACAGACAGGTCTATAATATGTGTTCGAAGGATATATCCAGGATGTCAAACTCACTCAGCAGCAAAGCAGGTTAAAAGGATAAAGATAGAAGCTAAAGCTGAACTATAGGTAGATGACTGGTGTTTGGCTTTCCTTCAGCCCGTCCAGGCGGGCTGAAAGACAGGCAGGGAGCTCCAGGGGAAGCCAAACACTGTTCATCTGCACACACTGTGATGATGCATTGCTGGTTGAATGTTGGCAAAGTTTCTCTGCTTCCCTTAATTGTTTCTTGTAGAGCAGGGTAGGTCTTTATTCAGAGTCATAATCATTAAAAAGCAAAAGTAGCTAGCACTGTATATACATTCAGTAGGCTGTAGCTTCACTAGCTAGCGACCTAGCCAGTTAACTCTTTTACTTTTCAGACTTTGATTTGGTTTTGGAACCGGGAAGAAACATATATCTCCTTCCAACCTCTCCAGGTAACAAGTATGATTATCACACGTGCCTCCAACTTAATGTTTAGCTTGAAATTCACGAAACAAGCCTGAAAATGAAGGAAACCATGAAAGTCAATGGAGAACAGCCGTGTTGTTGCTTGACCCTTGTCTGAGCTGGCCAATGCTGGGCTGTAATTGGCCAGTCTGCATTCGAGGGGCGGGACTTAGCAAGGGGTCAGTTGAGACACATATTCCAAATGTGCTGTATACATGTCCAAAGCATTCTTCTAAAACCTTAATAATACCAGCATATCCCACATGTTTAAATCATTTGGAATATCTAAATGAAATATGTTGTTTAAATGACCCATATCAAATTCAGAATATTGTCACATTTGGAATAATAGTGGAATATTAGTGTGCATGTAAAGGTAGTTACTCTGAGGCAGTGGTAGTTGAAATGCTTAGTTTGCACTAGCAGTGACTTAAAAGAGTGGACAGTAAACAGTGAGGCTGGGTTAGTTATAGACATGCATTGTTTCCTGAGAATCCTTTGGGCTTAGGGAATCTAAACTCAGCCCAGGAATGGCGGACTCCGCCACTACCAATAAAAACAACTATATAGAACGGTAAATCCTGAGTGTAAATGCATTGGCTGCAGAAAACTGCCATCCATAAATAGCCTCAGAAATGTGGTTTGATGTCCTGAAAGTCTTTCATGATTATGTCTTTAAGCAATTTCTTAGTGTTTGGTTCTTCAGCCCACATCAGAGACAGTGATAAAAGCTGGAGTGTAGCCAAAAACTTTTGAGTCATTAAAAGTTTCTTTGGCGTCAAGTCCATTCTGCTGCACCCCTCTTTGTCCTGGAGGATAACTGCTGTAAAAAGATTTATGCGGTGTGTAAAATGGAGGGAGAGGACTGGTTTTGTGCAGTTATTTATTTATTTCGCCATTCATTCACTCATTTGCAGTTACACTGATTATATAAAGCCATTATGCTGAAGCAGAATGCACTTAAATAGAAAGGGACAGCTAAATAGTGGCTGGATATGAAATGGCTTTGAGAAAGATCTCTCAAAGTTGTAACAGCATTCTTTTTGTTATGTTTTGCATTCAAGTGTTCCTCAATGTGCAAACTTTATCTCTAAGGGCCACTGGAGGTCCGGTCTGTTATTAAGAATGAATCAGCTGAGTAAACTAATAACTAATGTCCTCAATCCAGACTTCACGGTTGGCCTCATACCCGCTAATCCTTCAATTGGTGCAGTAAGGCTGCCTGAGGTGCTCAAGTCTTGAGTGAAAAATCAACCGAAGTGGAAGTTATGAAGTCTGTTTTGAGTCAAAAAATGCAATTGTCTCATTTGAAAAAGAGTTTTCACTGATCTCTGGTGTTTCAAGGCTGATATTGAGAGCTGTCACAAATTTCTAGAAAATACCAGACACATGAGTAACTGCACTGGGAACAAGTAGATTTATCAGTCTCCTTTGAAGTCTGAATATGAGACAGATTGAGCTGCTCTGAAGATTGTTTTATTGTAGTGAGGCCGACATGATTAGGAGATAAGGTCCAAATTTCTCTATCAGTTGCTGCAGTCTGCCTCTGCCTTTGGGCAAATTTCAAATGATTTAGTACGGCAGTGACAGTGATAATGTGGTGCCTCAAACCCTCCCCTCATTTAAATGACTCAACGCTTTATGATGGCTTTTAAAGATGCACAAAAAAATTGAGGTGAATTGTACATTCATGACTTTGGGGAGAATCTCATCTTTAATACTCCTTTTGGCTTTTCCACTGAAACGATTATCAGTTTGTGTGTGTGTGTGTGTGTGTGTGTGTGTGTGTGTGTGTGTGTGTGTTAAAGAACTAACCAACATGATGTCACTGCCAGGTCTAGTCTCTCTCTCAATTTCTTCCCT